CACACACACACACACACACACACACACACACACACACACACACAGAGCTAGGAGCTGTAGGTGTAGAAGTAGGTCATCGTTTGGTTGCGACACCCCAAGCAACATGAACAAACCTGTTCCATCCACACAAGTTTCTTCAACTACACTTCCACCCTCTTAGCAAGATGTACCTAGTACTTTCTATGGTATTACTCAACTTTACTTATTGCTGCCAATGTGAAAACAAGTCCATAAACATGAGATAATACTGATGAGTCCTCTTTGCAGAAGAGGATGTTCCTGTTAGGAGTAGCCTCTTCAAACTGATGTAAATCAAATATTTCTCTACTAAAAATACAATACACAGTTTTTCTAATTTCTCCCAAAATCTAGGCCAGACTACAGCAACACTGACAGACATATGCTTGAGGTATGTGCGGCTCAAAGCAGGGCATAAACAGGTCTTACTCTCCAGCTGCTCCTCACGTTCTTTCAGTGCTTGTTCTCGGTCCCGCAGCGCCTGCTCCTTCAGTCTGATCTCCGTGGCCGAGGCGTGCGCCGTCTCTGCCGGTTTGTGGAGAGGAACATCAGAATCAGCTGATCTCCTTTGGAGTCGCGACTGTGCCTTCCTCTGCTCCTCAGCAACCGCCTCGCTCAGCAGGCTGCTCTGGAGAATAGATTCTACAGAAGGTCTCAAATAGTCCTGCCAAGAGAAGGGGCCCATAAATGAAACATAAATAGCCTTTTTTGTTCCTGCCAATGTGGTGCTAGTGTCGCTGCCAGTGGTTTCATTTTGAGAACTAGTTCCCATTTCCACAAGTTTGAGGTCCAGTTATTATGTAATGCTGCTAGCAGAGGCTAGGGTAATATCTGTTGGCACTTTAAGGGTGGAAATGCCCCGAACCCATTCCAGATCAGACGCCAGCATCACGTCGGTGCAAAACCTTAGACCGCATAAAAGATGGATGTAGCCACCATGACATCCCAATCCACATGTCAAGTGTCCTTGGACAAGATACTGAACAACAAATTGGCCCAGTTCAGGATCTACCGAAGAGTGAGCAAGCGTGAGAAAGTTAGAAAAAGCACCTAAAGGCACCGTATGAATGTGTGTGAGAATGGGTGAATGTGGGTGGTGGTAAAAAGTGCTTAGAGTGCTCATTTAACTAGAATTTACAAAATTAACTTCACGTTTTATTCAGTGACCTAAAACTAGCACTTGAGTCCATAAAGTCATGGGAAAGTAGTTACTGAGGGCCAGTTTGCCATGGAAGGCACTAAAACTAGAGCAGTTGCCCCCTGCAGGCTGTTAGAAAGAATGCAAGGTTTGAAGTATTTCTGCACAGACTTCCCCTCTTCCAGATGTGGACACGTGGTCCATCTTTTATACCATCTAAAATAATCAGATAGCTCAGGCACCATATCATGTAAATTTTAAAAATAAATTCAATTCCAACCTTTAAGTTGAGCATTTTGCCGAGCAGAGTGTTCAGCTCCTCAGAGTACCGGTACGGGATCCTTCTGAATTTGCCCTCTCTGATCTTTTCTGCCAGCTCTTTTTGGTTGTAAGCAGTAAAAGGAGGCCTGGAGAGGAAAAAGAAAAATGCAGGAAAAACTGCAAGATCTGCTGCCTAACAGTTTGCAGTGGGGAAATCAGCTAAAGCGGAACAGCTGGAAAACTTACGATAAGGCACAGAGTTCGTAGAGCAGACATCCCAGAGACCAAATATCGGACTTCTCGTTGTATGACATCCGGTTTATTTGTTCCTGACAGAAAAAAAAAGAGATTATATTTGTCCTCATTTTTTTTTTTAATCATGAAGTAAAACAAAGATTAACAAACAAGAATAAAATCAAAAGTTCAGGCAAGGAAAGTTGTAAGCTCAGATTAAACGCTTCAAACTCCAGCAGCATGAAGCCACTCACTGGAGACATGTAGTACGGCGTCCCGACAAACGTCTTTGCAAAGCTGGTGTCATGGTTCAGGATCCTCGCCAGGCCAAAGTCGCCCAGTTTGACATTCTGCTTGATGTCGAGGAAGATGTTGGCTGGTTTCAGGTCCCGATGAAGGACTGTGGCCCTGCCGTCACTCCGCCTGTGACACTCCTTCAGGGCCAACGTGAGCTGGGCCATGACTCGCAGGATGAACTGCTCCTCCAAATAGCGCCTGTCAAGGTAAAAAAAACACATGCATACACCGATGAAGGGAAAGGATTCACCAGCATGCAACCGTCAGTATCATTTAGCATTCAACCCCACCTCTCCTTGATGCAGCGGCTGATGAGACTGGACAGGTCGCCGCCTTCGCAGTACTCCATGACAATGTACAGAGTGGTGTTTGTCCGGTCTATGATGCGGTCGTAGTACCTCACTATATTTGGGTGTTTGAGCTCCCTCAGCAGGTTCACCTCTGACACCAGCATCTGCTTCTCACCCTCTGCCATGGTGCCATAATCCAGCTCCTTCCACACCAGGATCTACGATACAAACCAGCTTTGAATTAACCAGAATTACAGAGATAAAAGTCAAAGAACCGTGGTTATCTGAATCAGAGATCAGAGAATGTCCTTCCATAAAGGCCAGTGTCGTAAGAAGACAAGTGGAAGCTATGGAAAAGTAAAGCTAACTCGGGCAACTTGTCTTTATTCTAGAACACGGGTGGGGGAACGCTAGGCCTCAAGGGCTGGTGTCCTGCAGGTTTTAGATGTGTCCTTGATCCAACACAGCTGATTCAAATGGCTAAATGACCTCATCAACATGTCTCCAAGTTCTCCAGAGGCCTGGTAATGAACTAATCATTTGATTCAGGTGTGTTGATCCAGGGTGATATCTAAAACCTGCAGAACACCAGCCCTTGAGGCTTGAGTTCCCAACTCCTGCCCTAGAAGAATAGAATAGAATAGAATTCAACTTTATTGTCATTGCACATGCACAGGTACAGGGCAACGAAATGCAGTTTGCATCCATCCAGAAGTGCATTAGTGATATAGATATATTACAATATATATTAGCAATAATATAGATGTGAGTATATTACAGAAATGGGTCTATTATGGTATGTTATAATGTACACGGTATGAAGTATGTTGTGAATATTGTATAACTATAAGTATGTACAGGCTGTAGTGAGTACAAGCTATGTACAGGCTATGAACAGGATATAAATATGAAAAACTATACAGAATATGAAATAAATAACTTTACAGAAATCTGAGATATACAGCTATACAGAAATGGGAACTATGCAAGTTGTAAACAGTTGTAGGATTAAAGATTATCGAATGTACAGAATGATTATTTACACAGAGCTATACAGTAGTGCAGTTAAGATAAGTGAGGGTGTAGATAGTTTCTAGAGAGGCTATACAAAATGCTAGTGGTTGTGAGTGGTGGTTCAGTCCATGTTATTATTGTGTGTTTGAGGGTACAGTTGTCCATTGTGGGTGTGTGTATGTTCAGTCCATGAGTTTAATGTGGGTCAGATGTCAGGAGGCAGAGAAGGATAAACTGCATACAATGTCTTAATGTACAATCAAAGGTATTATGTTATGAATTGAGTTATGAAATGCTCCTTAAAATAGGGATGGCATTTAAACACATGTCACTGTTGCCAATGGCTATAAAACCAGAAAAACAGGCTTTACTGTCAGACACAAACGTAAATAATAACTGATTACAGCACAGCAGGAAGAGTATTAGGTAAATACAGGAATTTACACAATACAGACCTTAAAAAGGGCCTCTGGGGGGGTGACTATATAGCAAGGCCAATCACAATCAAGGATTACTCTTGTGGGATATTGATCTGGGCCCTGTGCTCACTGTCTGAGAAGCCTTGGAGAACTTGTGCTGTCTGTAACATCATTCAGCATGACCAGTGTGGTGCTGGGTGAGTAAGGGTCTGTGGAGGTATATCCATGAAGGGACTGCCATTAGGTATTGGGATGAAATCCTGGGTTCCTCCTGCCATTCAAACTACTGGGTACATTTTGGCAAAATCTACACATTATTTTTTACTTTGAGTTTCAGGGTCTTTAAATTAAGCCCTCCAAAGGTAAATCATTTAATAATTTTCACTTTTGTCAAAGGATCTGGCATCATTTTATTGCTAATGCATTACCCAGTCTATATGAGTGTAGATATCCAACATGTTTATCTCCCCATTGAGAGCTGATGTATTTTCAAAGTAATCCTTGACCCAAAGAAAGGAATTTCCTTCATTGGAATAATTAAGTTACCAACAACAACAAACGTTTAAAAAAAAAAAAAGGTGAAGTCAGTAAAATAAAATAGTAAAACATAAATATCTAATATCAATATAAAAATTAGCATAAAATATTAAGTCATTAATAACTGACCTTTTTAATCTAATGCTGCTCATTTTTAAGGTCCACATTATAAGCGAACAGCTTACATTTTCAAAATTTCTGTAACGCTACAGGCAGGTAGCTACTTGTTAGCGGTTTGAAATAAAGTTTGAGGTGGGGGGAGGAAAAAAAACATGACTGCGACAATATTGCCCCGCGGACTCACGGACAGCAGGTGAGTTTAACCCACAGGTATGCGGGAAGTGTGTTTTACTCACCTTTCTGTCAGCTTTTCTCTTTATTTTCTGGCATCTTCCATATGAACCGGAGCCTATAGTGTGCAGCACCTCGTAGTCCTCCACCCGGGACGGCATGCTGATTTGTAACCGACTCTAACGTTCAAAACTTACCGGACTGGCGTCACCGTCAGCTAACGGCAACATAAATATAAACCGGAAGTAGTGTCCTTCAACACAGGCTCTCAGTTTAATCCTAAACCGCCTTTTATGTCTATGTATATGTTTAAATGGTCATTTCCTTATATTTCTTTCCTCTATCGTGTACTCGTGTGTTAACAACCAAAACAGGAAGTGATTACTCTCTGTTTAAATTGGTGCCGAAATCCTTGATTGTGATTGGCCTTCCTCGCGCAGCTGATTGGCAGCCGATTGGTCAGCGCAGAGACGCAACTTGTGAGGTTGCTAAGCGCCGGAATACCGCGAGAGTTGAGCGGGTAGACGACGCACAGGAGTTGTGCTCCACGAGGTGGCGCCAGAATCGCATGGTCCGGGTGAGCGCAACCGCGGGTTTGGGAGCCGGCATCTGCGCAGCGTGAAGGTAAACGGGGTCAGGAAATTCATTTATTCAGGAAAATTGAATTTTACGATGGTTGTATTTTTTTTATACAAAAGACGGAACTGGGATTTGCCATTGATTTTGAAATGTATTTCTCTCTGAAGTGGAAGGAGATAGTATGCACAGTTTTTTTTGTGTATATTGAAAAGAAGAATGCGGTTTTAGTCACGTGTGGCCCGACATATGAATGACACCTCAGCAGCACTGCCGGTTTTGAGCTCCCAATAAGATTACATTTCTCTTTCACAACCCAGCTTTATTATAATTCATATATATAATACAATTGTAATTATAGGGAGAAAGATAAAACCCTTTTATCCTGTTTTGCAGAGATATAGGGGGATCTAAAAATTGTCTTTTTAAAAAAAAGACACATAATAACAAAATGTAGTATTTCTTAACTTTTTCTGCAGAATATTTATTGAAAATCATCAGAGAATTAATATATTTACTGGCAGTTTTTAGTGTTTATGTAATTCTGTTAGGTTAGTATGACATTGATTCTTTTATTTTCTACATGTAAGGTATGCACAATTTAAAATATGTAAAGACAAAATTTTTTTACTTGTTTGACAAACCTCTTGGGCTTGTCTTTTGTACTGGGGGACTGGGATTTATGGTTTTACAAGGAACAGCAGGAGTAGCTCTCTAGAATATTAATCATGCAAAGAAGGGAACAGCTCGATAAGATATCCATAACAAAGGATCGAATAACTTTTTTTAAAGCTATGTGGAATCATTGGAAAACCTAAATGAGGTCTGAAGCAGTCTGAACGATCAAATTAAAAACATGCATCTGTGTAAATGTTTGCCATCTCTGAAGTTGGGGGAGAATCATCTTCGGGGACACAAAAAGGTCACCGACTGTTAGTGCCCGAGACTGCATATGTTAAAAGCTGGTAGTCGTCTTATTGTCACTGGTCATTTGATTTGACCAGCAGGACCTCCTGAAGAGTCGCCATCTGAGAGCAGCAACACGAGCGACCTCTCACTCTGCTCTCACTCGCATATGTCCTACAGACAGTCTGCTCTGACCGACTGGCGCTGACGGAGAAGAGGGAGGGAAAAGGAAAAAAAAAAGGTGGTAGTGGCAACTCAAATTGCCATCCACATGTTTTTGTTTGTTTGTTTTTTACACAAACAAATAATAATAATAATAATTGTGGTACTGCACGAGGAAGGAATTATATCATATATATATATAAGGAAGGTCCTCATATCACATGTGTGAGGACAGGGAGACAGTGGTCAGGGTAAGAGTGACAGATGGGTTCAAGGTGGGGGTGGGATTACATCAGGGATTGGCTCTGAGCCCCTTCTTCTTGTTTGCTGTGGTGACGGACAGGTTGGCAGATGAGGTCGGGTAGCAGTGTCCGTGGACAATGATGTTTGCAGATGACATTGTGATCTATAGTAAAAGTAGGGAGCAGGTGGAGAAGATCCTGGAGAGGTGGAGGTATGCTTTGGAGAGAAGAGGAATAACGTAGTAGGTAGAAGTAGAAGCAAGACAGAATACATGTCTGTGAATGAGCGGGAGACAGGTGGAAAGGTGAAGCTGCAAGAAGTAGAAACAGAAGAAGGTGGATGGTTTAAATATCTGGGCTTAGGTATGCAAAACCCAGGAGAGTCCTATTCTCGGTGTAAAGAGCATTGTCTTTAATTAAAGCAGGAAAAAATAAGAGCAAATCATTAGCAGACAAGAAAGACCAAATTTTGGACGTTTTTTCAAGCTGACGGAATCATAACTGGACAATGTTTTTTACTTCAGCATTAAAGCTGAGTGTCAAAAATCACTCCAAGGTTTCGAGAGAACTGCTTGCCATCTTTGGTCACTGAGCTATCCTTTCTGTGGACAAGATTTGAATTTTAGAAACTTATGAGATACTCAGCATTTGATATCACTTATAGGCATTTTTTATTATTTGTTTTTTGGAAAATGTGTTTGTGGCGTGATGTGTTTTTTGTATTTATTTATTTATTTATTTTTAGATATTTTAGTCTAATTCACTTTGTCAAACAGGTTGTATTTATGTGATTTCTTGATTCAGCAGGTCTGCCAGTAATCAGGACTGGGTGTAGCGAGTGAAACTGAATTCAGGTTTCCAAAGAAAAAGTAGTTAATCACAGTTAATGATTTAACAAGACGGGCAAAGACTTTTTCACATAGGGCCAAGTAGGTTTAGATAGCTTTATTTCCCCTTAATCGATGAGGGAAAAAAGCATGTTTTATTTACTCAGGTTATCTTTATCTAATATTAAAATTTGTTTGATGATTTCAGTGTGACCAACATAAAAAAAGTAAGAAGAAAAAAAGGAAAACAAAGTGGGCTAAGGATGGAGCCTTGAGGAATGCCACAATTAAAATTGGCAACAGAGACGCCACAGAAAAGGTTTTGTTCAATGAGTAGGAGCCTACGAACTTTTTTTTTAGAGCAGATCCCTTAATCCCAATTCATGATTTATTAAGAAATTGATTCAAAAACTGCATAATTTAATTCATTCCTCAGATTTCTTACCGATGTGATCTTGTTATCAGCCTATATTGTTCTCATTTTCATAATTTTGACATCCACTTTTGAAAGAAATCTCCGTCCCGGGTTTCTCCGTGGATCGGGTTTCCTCCGAGGCGTGGGCACCTATAAGCAGAGTTTTGTCTTTACCCTATAAGATTCAAAATTATTCAAAGTAACACTCAGGTATGCCGTTCAGCGGGTTAGTTACAGCGCCGGGAGTAGCTTGGGAGAACAAGGAAACACAGACTGCTTCAGGTTGCTTTCCCAAAATCAACTCAAAGGTTTATTCATCAGACAACAGTTTATATAGAGGAAAAAGGTTCGTGTGTCAGCAGATTCTCAGTTCAAACTGGTACAGACCAAATAAGGAAGCGTCTTCCTGCCCTCTGAGCAAAGAAGTATCCTTTGTATAGTTTATCAGTTCAGCTACAATTTATGATCATCCCAGCAAAATACACTCCTAGACATAGAATACAGAGTTCTTTCATTAGTGAATTCTGAAACAAACCACCTGGCCTTTAACAAGCCTTTTTCTAAGAGATAAAGATGGGAGGATGGGAATAAGGAAGTGATCTCTGTGGTATTTTCGACCTTGGTACCAGCCTGTGATTCTTACACATTAATTCTTGGGTCACAGAGAAAGAGAAAAACAACTAGTAAATGGGCCTTATTGAGTAACAGTTTTCCTGTATAATATCACTATAAAACAATATCCTGTAAATGCTACCATGGTATCAAAATATCACAACAACTTTAGTGATGGGTCGTTCGCGAACGAAATGGCTCTTAGAGCCGGGTCTTTGACGTGAACGACGCGCTCTCTCTCTCTCTCGCACTTTTTTCCGCTTCACTCCGCATGCGAGCCTTGTGCTTTACGCTGGGCAGAGGGGGGAGGGGCGGTAGTTACACTGAGTAGCACAGGAACAGAGCCGGAGGGAGAGAGAGAGAAAGAGAGCCAGGGACAACAACGT